TGGTCCGTCTGTAAATTCCTGATTAGAACACCCCATATAGCTACTCTGAAACAATTTTTAAAAGAGAGAAGATAGATTTGTGACTCATTTGTCACATTATACAAATTTTGGAGGAAAAAATGTATGGGGGGGGGAATAGAATATTGGATCATAATTAGGGTGAACTATGATTCACAAAACAGTGAATCAAATTTTGAATACTGAAGTTTTCCTTAAATTCAATAGTAAGAACCCACAAGAACAAAAAACAAGGATGTGCCTGTTACAAAACTAAAACATACTAAGATTAAACTTCATAAAACAGGGCAACATATATAAAAGAAAACATCATATTGTTTAGTAAAAATAGAACATGATGCTTGCGCTGCAATATGGTTTTAGCCCCTTGACTTGGAAAGAAGTTCAGCCAAAGGCCCCAGAGGACTCCTCAAAAAGAGGAACCAGAAGTTTGGAATTCACCACATTGATGTGTCAGGAGAGTATCTACACCAGCGTTTCTCAACCTTGGTGGCTTTCAGGTGTGTGGACTCCGGCTGGGGAATTCTGGGGGTTGAAGTCCACACATCTTAAAGCCACCAAGGCTGAGAAACACTGATCTATGCCTTAAAAATGGAGGATTCAAAACTGCAGATATTATCTATTTAAGGCATGTATATATCATCCTTCACTTTCAAGCTCCCAGAACTCCTTAAAACACTAACAATACAACTAAAACAGTAAAAGGTGGTATTGAAATCAGTCACAGTAGAGAGATTCTGTATGTGGGCAAGTGTGTGTGTAGCTTTATTGAAGGTGAAAAACCTGGAGAAATAGAAATGCCTTTGTATTGTCGAAGGCTTTCACGGCCGGCATACGATGGCTGGTGTGGGTCTTCCGGGCTGTGTGGCCGTGTTCTGGAAGTTTTGTTTCCTAACATTTCGCCAGCACCTGTGACCGGCATCTTCAGAGGGCAGGAGCACAGACAGGAGCAGTTCTGTCTGTGACCCTGCACACTGCTCCTGTCTGT